CCACTACACAATACATATATGCATAATCTTCTGATTGCTAAGAGTTACTTGAAATTTCATGTTAGGTATAAATCAAAGTCTTCAGCGGATACAGTCTCAACATAGCGTTAACTGCAAACTGTCCAATTCTTTTTGCAGGCTTAGTTAATTTCCTAGTCTCAGTGGTATGTCATGTCAATAAATCATATTTTTACTGTGTGTAGAAAAAATCAACTTCTGTTCATTTCAAATTTGCCATATCTTGACTTTTTTTTCAAAATCCTTTAGTCCTAATCTTCAGATTAACATATGTTACAATCTAGAACTGTTATCTTCCCAACACCAATTTATACTTACAGTAAAGGCTGATGGTATAACAAAAGCTGTTTATAACTACAAACTGATAAGTCTTAATTAAAAGTATACCAAAGTTTTCTGGTTTGATCAGTCATATTTAGCTTGTTAAATGATACACCTGAGGCATTTTCAGAACTATTTAATTGTGTATATGACCTTTTCAATATCATGTTATGTTAAGTTCCACCAAAATGAAGGTGCCGGTTCTTGATTATAAATACACTGGATTGCATTTTAGATTTGTAGAATAAAATATATAAAAGTATATAAGTATAAAATCAGTATAAAAGCCATCCAGGGTAAGTTCTTCAGTTTTTGCCCCCTTGTGCATAATATTCAACGTTTGCATTGGTTTTGCTTTTGTTTTTTTTTTCTACTAACCTTGTTTTAGGGCTTGTGTAAATATATGTAATATTCAAAAGAAGCATCTTCTTTAGGGTGAGGATGAGGATGATGAAACAGGAAAGTGAAAAGAAAAAGGAGAAAAACATCTAGGAAAGGAAGATGGCATCAAGAGAAAACAAGGGGATTTATTTTTAATGTAAATTATAGATACCTCAATGATTGTAATTCCTGAAGATTAGACAGATAAATTGCATCTTTCTAGTCAAGCTAAAAATCATAAACTGAATTCTTACGTGGTTCAAATAATGTGTTTAAAGCTTTCTCTCAAACACAGTGTATAAATATTCTTTGTTACATTCTGATAACAAGAACTGACTTCTTCTATCAATTTGAGGAAACAGAAATGTATGGTATAGCTTTTCAGGGTGCTTTTGACTGCCAGGCTAAAAAACATGACCTGATTTGAGGTTTGGTCCAGAATATAACTAATTGTTAAAACTATGAAATGCATTTTCTATCAATAGTAGAGATCAAATGCCTTTAAGTGGTGAAGAGCTTGCATCCAAATTTCTTGACTACCTTGAAAATTTGACGTAGTTGCAAAGTTGTCGGTTTTGCTCTTTAGCTTCATTACAGCTACAGATCTAAAATTCTGAATTAGCTAAATACAAAATATACAGTATCTCTAGTTCATTTTCAAGACAGTATATGTTACCTTTCTACATTTGTCGAACTAACAAACTTCTGAAGTGCCTTTATGATATGTATACAAAGTAGACTATATCATGAGTAATATATATGTGTGCCATTTTAATCATATGATGAGGTAGAAACCTATACAGTAAAATTTCTCCATGGTCCAAAATGTTTTGATCAAATATTTTGCATTTCTTTTCTGTATGACATTTATGTGTTTAAGAGAGATAGACCCTAAATAAATACATACATGAGTTTAATGTTTCCACAATTCCACAAAAGACCAATTTGCGGAAGCTGTAAGAGACAATTACAAAGGTTGTGATTAAAATCAAAACAAAACAAAAAACTCATTGGCAATTCTAATGCCCAATAAAATTCTTTTTTGAATTTATAACTTAGTGATAGAGATAGATGCCTTTTCCTTCCTTGCTTGGCAACACTATGGAACCAATGTACTTCATGAAGTTCAACAAGGCCAAGTGCAATGTCCTGCACCTGGGTCAGGCAGTCCCAAGCACAGATACAGGCTGGGTGGAGAATGGATAGAGAGCAGCCCTGAGGAGGAGGGCTTGGGGGTGTTGGTTGATGAGAAGCTGAACATGACCCATCAGTGTGTGCTCACAGCCCAGAAAGCTGACCATATACTGGGCTGCACCAACAGGAGTGTGACCAGCAGGTCAAGAGAGGGGATTCTGCCACTCTACCCTGCTCTCATGAGACCACACCTGCTCTGCTGGCCTCCAATACAAGAGGGACATGGACCTGCTCAAGTGAGTCCAGAGGAGGCCACAGAGATATCAGGGGCTGGAGCCCATCTCTTATGAGTAGAGCCTGAGAGAGTTGGGCTTATTCAGCCTGGAGAAGAGAAGGCTCTGGGGAGACCTTGGAGCAGCTTCCAGTGCCTGAAAGGAGCCAACAGGAAGCTGGAGAGGGACTTTATACAAGGACATGTAGTGACAGGACAAAATGAAATCACTTTAAACTGGAAAAGAGTAGATTTAGGTTCAACATTAAGAAGTCCTTACCTGTGAGAGGGTGGTAAGATGTTGGAACAGGTTGCCCCATCTATGGAAGTGTTCAGGGCCAGGTTGGATGGGGCTTTGAGCAGCTTGGTCTAGTGGAAGATGTCCCATGGCAGGGGGTTTGAACTAGGTGATCTTTATTGTCCCTTCCAAACCCAACCATTCTAAGATTCTATGGCTCCTCTTCCCTTGCTCTCTCTCACTCAAAACAGCTTTTTTTTTTTTTCTTATAGTGCAATATAGGAAAATATTATTGACTGGTTACTGCATAATGTGGTTCTGAAGATAATGGAGTGTAGGTACAAGCAAGTAAAAAAAATGAAATGCAGAAACAGACTCCAGACTCCAGATTTACATGAAGACTAACATTTATAGAATATCCTAATTCCAGATAAGAATAAATCAGTTTAAATCAGTGTCTTTGAACTGAAATATTGAAACCTATTAGTTTAAGATTTTGGCCAGATTTATAAAGTGAAAAAGAAAAAAGGTGTTTCATGTCTCTAGATTTGCTAAACCACAAAAAATATAACGGAAGATAGATAATTCCTGCCCCTCTGCTCTCTTGAGACCTCACTTGGAGTATTGTGTGCAGTTCTGGTGTCCTCAACATAAAAAGGACATGGAACTGTTGGAACAAGTCCAGAGAAGGGCCACGAGGATGATCAAGGGGACTGGAGCACCTCCTGTATGAAGACAGGCTGAGAAAGTTGGGGCTGTTCAGCCTGGAGAAGAGAAGGCTGCATGGAGACCTCATAGCAACCTTCCAGTATCTGAAGGGGGGCTATAGGGATGCTGGGAAGGGACTATTCTTTAGGGATTGTAGTGATAGGACAAGGGATAATGGGTTTAAACAGGGGAAGTTTAGGTCAAATCTAAGGAAGAAGTTCTTTACTCTGAGGGTGGTGAGGCACTAGAATGGGTTGCCCAGGGAAGTTGTGAATGTACCATACCTGGTGGTGTTCAAGGCCAGGTTGGACAGAGCCTTGGGTGACATGGTTTACTGTGAGGTGTCCCTGCCCATGGAACTAGATGATCTTTAGGCCCTTTCCAACCCTGATTATTCTATGATTCTATGATATTACCTATCCTGTTGATGTATTCCACACAGGGAGGAGAGTATGGCTTCACAGAATCACAGAAAGACTGAGTTTGATGACCCCCTTTGACATCATGTGGTCCAACTTCCCTGCTCAAAGCAGGGCCATCTGTAGCATGTTGCCCAATAGCGTATCCTGTCATATTTTGCGTATCTCCGGGGATTAAGACTTCACAGCCTCTCTGGGCAATGGGTTCCAGTGTTCAAACATCCTCTAGTAGAAAACACTTTTGTTGTGTTCAGATGAAACTTTATGTGTTTTAATTTGTGCTTATGACCTCTTGTCCTGTCAATGGGCATCACTGTTCCCTGTTCAGTCCCTTCTATCAGGTATTTGTACTCAGATCCTCCGAGCCTTCCTTTCTTCAGGCTGGACAAATCCAGGTCTCTCAACCTCTTCTCATATGATAGATGCTCCGCCCTTCCATCCTTTTTGTGGCCTTTTTCTGGATTCACTCTTCCTAATGCAGTTAAGGTAGCTTCTTTAGCCTTCTTTACTGCAAGCATGGCTCATGGTCCTACAGGACCGCTCCTGTACTGGAACAATATGGGGTTATTCCTTCCCAGGTGCAGGGCTTTGCATTTGCTTTTATTGGAAGTGTTTTTCTTTTCTGAACTTACAATTTCATCTTACTAAGTAATCTCTACTTCCTTTGTTCACTACATATTGTCATCTTCTTTATTTGAAGAATAAAGTTATTTGATTTTGTAAATGCATGGCTTCTAAAAATGTAGTTCTTGGGTATACGTTTCTGTGACAACCTTCAGAACCATCATTTAAATGGTGGAAATAATGCATGTACAAAATAGGGTGAATTTATAAAGTGTAAACCCTGTAATTTTAAATCTATCATTCAGTCAGTTTTTTGCATCATAATTTCAGTGCTTAATGGCAGGGTTGGTTGGTCTCTGAGCAGTGCTTAAAAGTGAGTGAGTTAATGAATTGGTAAAAACATCAGTCTGTAGTTGTTATAAATTTGCATTAAAGTCAATGAAACACAATTCTTTTACCCAAAGAAGCTCTCGCTGAAGATTTTGGTGTTTGATGAGTTGTTTTTGAATCTTTTTTTCCCAGATAAGATGAACAAAAAGGAAACACCCTTTGGGTTATATTTACAGGATTTTCTAAGAGAACATTTTAAAGTTTAGAGGAGAAAGTTTGTCTTTTAAAATTTTCCAAAGTAAGCTTTGTGACTTCTGAGTGTTTTTCTTTAGTTTTGAATTTTATAATGAAATTTTTGCATAAATTCCTTTTTTTTTTTTTTTTTTTTTAATCCAGTCCAGAGACTTTGATTTTGGTTTGGGTTGTGGGTTTTTTTTTCAGACTTTGTTGCAATGTTAGACCATAGAAGCAAGAAGGGACTTGATTTTCAAAGGAAACAAAAGAAAAAAGGAATGAAAGCTTTGTTGGTGGCTTCCTTAAATTATTTTAAGAAATAAAGTAATATTTTCTATATTTAAATTTTTCCCAGAAAGAGTAGACTGAAATTCCATTAGTTAGTTGCTTTAGATGAAATGAAGTTGGCAGTCTCTAGCATATTAAAGTCTGATCTTGGGATGTGGACACGCAGAAATTTACTGCTGCAATTATGGATTCATGAAGACTTAAAACCATCTGGGGTGTGCATGTCATGGCAACAAAGAGCTGAGCAAGTTGCAGAACCCTTACCAAAAATATGTAAGTCCTATGCTGAATGCTGCGTAGCAATGTCAATACTGTTAGCTGAGATCAGTCCAGCTTAGTTCACCTCTATGGGTGTGCATTCTTTGTTTCTCATTCCCTATAATTCCTTCACTGCAGTGAAGTAATTACAGTAGTAAGGCTCTCCTCTTGGATCTTAGTGCATTAATCTGGAAAATTTAAGTTAGCTCATGAAGATTATGTGTATTGCAGCCCTCTTTTCTCAGGAAGGCTGCAAAAAGAGTGCTGATGAATGACTGAGTCTCATTCTCTTGTAAGACTATTAAAAATGTTAATGTAAACCTTTTCAGATGTCTAAGAGACTAAGACAAGAAAAGTAGGGAGAGTGATAAAGTGGGAGAAAGAGTGGAGGGAAAGGTTAATCTTATCTGTGAAATGCCAAGTTGTTAGTGGGATGCTTTTGCTCAGCAAATATAATGAACAATATGGTATTTGTCTTGCGGGGAATGCAGACCAGAAAAATGAAGGGCTTTGGTCTTCAAGACCAAAGTCTTGAAGAAAACGAGTGTAGCATGGTAAAGTGCACAATAGAATTTATGTTACTAATGCATTCTGCTGTTCATTTTAATATCTCTCTTTTTTTATAAATGCATATTTGAGTAATAAATCAGTCTGGTTCTTTAATGATAGAATAACCTATCTTAGCTGAAACCTATAAACCCATTGTGAATACTGCATGGTGTATTTTCATCATAGAACTGATGAAACCAACGATTTAGTTAAGGGATGGCTCTACTGGTGATAATGTCAGCTTACGTTCTTTGACTTTTCTTTCCACTAATAGCAAGTGTTTTGCTACTTTGTCACTGCTAGGATGAGGGCTGGTTATATGGGAGTCACATTTGTTACCCAGAAGCTTTCTCACAGCTGACTCCTTTCCTCTTTCTGCCCATGTTAAATGGCACATTCTGCTAAAGCATAAAAGAGAATTTCTGCAGTGCTTTCACTGTTAGCTGTGAACTGATAAGAGACACACCTGCTTTTCTTTTCCCTGTTGTATGTAGAGTGACATTGGAGAAAGAGATCTGGTAATATCTTCCAATAACACCTGCTGAAGTAGAACCTGCTGAAATAAGCCAGTTTCATCTTTGCAAGCAACTTGTAACAATTTACATCTTAAAAAGAAAAGAAAAAAGAAAAGAAAAGAAAAGAGAAAAGAGAAAAGAATAAAGAAAAAAGAAAAGAATAGAAAAGGAAAAGAAAGAAAAGAAAAAAAAAGAAAAGAAAGAAAAGAAAAGAAAAGAAAAAAGAAAAGAAAAGAAAAGAAAAGAAAAGAAAAGAAAAGAAAAGAAAAGAAAAGAAAAGAAAAGAAAAGAAAAGAAAAGAAAAGAAAAGAAAAGAAAAGAACTGCAAAGACGCTCAATAGAAAATTATGATTCTATAGAATTATTTTTGTGAAGTACACTGTGTACCATGCCTGCCATACAAACAAGCAATATCCAAGCAATCCATTGTTTCAGAAAAAGACTGAGTTAGAATGAAAGCAAGGCATATTAATCTCTATTGAAGAATCATGAAAAAGCAGCAGCAGATAGCTGACAATTTTCATCTTATTTTTTAATGCGTGTCCTGGCCTTCATGCACCATGGTTCAAATTCATAATACTGTGACAAGGACAACGATATGTCATGAATCATGCAGAGGGCAATTAACGACAGGCATCAAATATATTGAAGAACATCAGACAAAACTAAGTGCGAGGTGAGTAGGGTTGCAAGAGTATTTTATATTTTATATTTTATCCTTTTCTATGTAGAAGGAGGATACTTGACAAATATAAAAATATTTAGACTATACTTTGACTTCTGCTATTCATGTGAACAGCAGCAAAAAAGTCTGCTCTGGCTTTTACACATTCCCAGGACTGAGACAATCAAAAGGAGCTATCAATTAATTAATGATTTCATTTAACTGCAAAATAAGGTCGGTTGGACAGGACTGATGGAGTTCATCTAGTCCAGCCTCCTGCTCAAAGCAGTTTCAGTTACTGTTGCTCAGGACTTTGTTCAATTAAGTTCTGAGCATCAGCAAGGGTGGAGATGGCACAGCTTCCACAGACACTGCTCCAGTACTCGGCAGCCCTTATAGTGGTCAAAGTAGTTTTCCATAATATTGAGTCTAAATTTCCCATGTTCCAACCTGTGCTTGTTGCCTCTCATCTTATTGTCATGCACCTGAGAAAAGACTGGTTCCATCTTCCTTATACTTCCCCATTCCTCATGAGATGGTTGTAGCCCAGAGCAGAATGTCACTTTAACCTCTTTCTTAAGGCTGAAGAAACTCAGATCTCTCATCCACATATTCTGGCTGTAGCCATCATGGTGACCCTCCACTGAACTCACTCCAGTACATCAGAGACTCTCCTGTGCCAGGATCCCAGATGTGAATCCTGCACTCCTGGTGCTCAACAGTGCTGAGCAGTAGGGCAGGATCTGTGCCTGGCCCTGGTGCTGCAGACCTGGGTGCAGGGGCTGTGCTGCCTTGATGCCAAGAGAACCTGCTGCCCCTCAGGGCCTTTTCTGCTTGGTCACCCCTAACCTGTCCTGCTGCAGGGGTGAGTCCTTTCCAGGACTTTAGGGACCTTCGTCAGGTTCCCTACAGCCCATTTCTACAACTTGTCCAAGTTCCTCAAAATAACAGCACTGTCCTCCAGCCTGCTGTTTACTCTCTCCATCTGGTGAACCCCACTTACTTGCTGTCAGTGCTGTCTGTCCCATCATGCATGTGATAAGGACACTGAACTGCTTTAAACTCAGTATCAGCCCCTGATGGATGCCACTAGTAAGCAGCCACTATTCGGACTTTGCAACACTGATCTTAGCCCTTTGAACCCACCTTTCCAGAGAGTTTTCTTCTTATCTTGTCATACCCATACCCAGGCTAAACCTTCCCATGGCTACAATGAGCTGATCATGTCAAGGACCTTGCTAAAGTCAAGGCATGCAACATCCACTGCTGTCCCCTACACAACCTGCTGGTCACCTCATAGCAGAAGGTGGTCAGGTTTGCATTTGGTAGATTTGGTAGATTTCCACGAGCAAAAGGGTATTGTGGCTAATATGTCTGACTTCCAGAAGGAATCTGGTGGCACCATGTGTGGGCAAAACAATGCCAGGTTAATCTTGATAAAATAGGTAAACTATCTATTTCATAGGCTGCAGCAATCACAAGAATTCACCTCTTGACCAGATTTATGCTTAAATGGGGCATATCTTTTATGAACTGTTTTGCATCGTGTAACTTAAAATTTATTTTTGTAAAATCATAGATAAGTTTCTTCAGCATAACATTATGAAACAAGTTGAACTTGTACAGATTCTGCTCTCTTAAGTTTCTGGAAATAAGAGTCTGCACTAGAAAAGTTGATATGCCTTACAAGGTGCTATTAGGTCAGTTAAGACTGGTTTCAATTGCTTTTTCCCAAGGCCTGTTAAATTTTCTCCTGCGAGTGCTGGTTCTAGAAATAATGTCAATTTTAAGTCATCCTGAATGTGGAATTTTCTTCCCTTTCTGTAAATGGGGTATATATGCTGTGAAAGAAATGTGTTCATTGTGTATTGTGTTTGCTGTTAAAGTACATCTCTCTTTTTTATTACTTTCTTTACCCATTAAAGGGCAATAAGCTTCCCCTCACTTCGGATTTGATTATTAGGATTTTATGCTTCCCTGTCCATAAACCATCAATGCACAGAGGTTCAGCAGAATAAGTTTTGGTAGCTGTGATCTTTATCTCTGAATTCTGTTTCTGGCATAAGTGGATAGGTAATAGAAGGAGAAGAAAGAGAATATACATGATAATATCTTTAATGAAGAATGACTGGTAAGGTGGTCAGTGAAAAATAGGGAAACAAAGCCTGTGTTTTGTTCAGTCCTTAGTGTGTTACAGACTAATGCCTTTGGTTGGAGGAAAAGATGCTGCAGCCTCTCCAAGTCTACTTGTGCTCCTCTCAAAGGCAATTAATTACTGCTGTCAGAGTTGAGTTCCCAGAAGGGCCAGTGCAGTGGTATTTTATTAATGATACTCTGCAGTAAAATGTGTAAAGAATTGTGCTCTTTGATTAAACACAAAATCTTCTCAGTTGCTCAGGGTTTATTTTTCTCTAGCAAGCTGGTACTGAGGGTGTCCTGGGTTCAGCAGCAGCAGTCATGTTTCTCCTCCTTGGTAGCTGGTGCTGTGCTCTGTTTTGACTTTCAGCTCGGGAACAGAGCTGATAACAAGGATGTTTTGGTTTGGCCAAGGACTTTGTGAGCCTCATGCTCTGCTACGGAGGAGGGGAAGCTGGGAGGAAGCAGAGACAGGACACCTGACCCAAACTGACCAAAGAGGTATTCCATACCACAACACGTCATGCCCAGGATGTAACGGGGAGTTAGCTGGAAGGGCTGGCAGACTGCAGGGTGGGAGGAGGTATGGGTCTGTGCTTGGTTGGGCTGGGGGGGACGAGTTATCAGTCAGCTGGTGCTGAGGTGTTGTATTCTCTTCCCTTATTATTTCCTTTATCATTATTATCATTGGTGGTAGCAGTAGTGATGTGTGTTATACCTTAGTTACTAAACTGTTCTTATCTCAACCCATGGGAGTTGCATTCTTTTCGATTCTCCTCTCCGTCCCTCTGGGAGTAGGGGGAGGAAAAGAAGGGGGGGAGTGAGTGAACAAGCTGTCTGGCTGGGTTTAAACCACAGCAGAGGGTAGCTACTTCACAGAATGTCCCTTCAGTTTTTGTGTAACAGATATGAATATATATAAATAAATGTTTCTAAATATACCTACCCATAATTTTTAAATTGCATGTTAAAGTTGGATTAGTAAAAGCAAATTTGGTCATTCATCTTACATACAGCATAATCAAGAGGTCACCAACACAGAACTTTGTATAAATGTATGCGTATTGAGTGTTTTTATATTGAATTGGTCCCTTATTCCATTGCTTAATGTTTGTCTCCCAGAAGGAATTCAGGTTCCTCCAGATGCTGAG